CCAGTAATCAAAATGATTCCGGAAATAGCAAGAGTACAAAAGATTTGTGTAAAACAAATAGAAGTGTTATAGTTAGAGCAGCTAGCAGTATGGTTGTAAGCAATTCATTTCATTAACATAATCTATTACTTTATCTATCATTCATCTATATATATATCTATCATTAACTGTCATTTAATTTTTATTTTACATAGGATAGTTTACACAAACTTAGTGCACCAGAAATACTGTTCATTCCATCGGTAGAAAATTCCGACGTTTCCGAAGAAGTCGATCCAGCCGTAACGAGTCAAGAAATTTCTGCCCACGAAACAGTAGTAACAAGTCCAGTGGAATCTACTAGAACTATCTTAAATATTGGGACAAATATTTCTCATAATATTCTATTAGGACGATGGAGATTATCATTGGATTTATTTGGTCGTGTTTTTATGGAGGATGTTGGTCTAGAAGCAGGATCAATTGTATCCGAACTTGGTGGTTTCTCTGTGAAAGAAGCTAAATTCCGTAGGAATATGGAAAAACTTAGAAATTCTCAACAAAAGGATATCACATTGTCAAAAGTAATTTTATCCTTGTGATTTATAATACATAGTAGTAGTATATCACAGTTTTTATATATCATACGATAACTTAAATATTTATTTCAACAACAACAAAAATTAATTTCAGAAAATAAATATAAGTATTAATATTTGTTCATTATTTTTTGTTGTTGTATAGATTGAACGTGACAGAACTCAATTACTGGTGCAAACGATGAAAGAATTGAATACACAATACAATTTGTATAATAAAAGAACTTCTAATTCTCCACCATTAGCAGTAAATCGAGTAAAAGTAACATTTAAAGATGAACCAGGTGAAGGATCAGGTGTTGCTAGAAGTTTTTATACTGCAATTGCTGAGGTTTGTGATAATGAATGTGTATTATGAAAGTATAGTGTGAAGGATTATTATTTCAAATTTATATTATTTATCTTAGATAATTTTGTCAAGCAATTTTATTTAACATTAGGTTTACGAAAATTGAAAAAACCATTTACATGTTTCTCTCTTATCTCTTGGTCTTAAAATAAGTTGTTATTATTATTATTATTATTATTATTATTTTTAAACAAAAAACAATATGACGCATACTCGTAAAGATAGAAATATAAGAAATGTTTCATAAACCTAATGTTGAGAAATTAATTTAAGTACAGATGTAAAAAGATGACGAGTGGGAGATTGTAAATACTAAATGCACTTTATTGAATAATGCATATCTCATAATTCAATTTGGTTTAATTTTTCCAAATATTTTTTTGTATTTATTAAGATATGCATAAATATTGAAAGTCATCGTATTTACAATATCCTACTCGTCTCAGAAAAATAATCCAATGTTCTGTTATCTTTTCTTAGGCCCTACTTGCAAACGAGAAGTTACCTAGTCTCGAAGCAGCCCAAGTTGGTTCTAAATACACACAGTATAACGTTTTACAAAAATTAAAAAGCAGAGATCGCGATCGTGATCTTAGAAGACAAGTATGTATAATATTTCAAATTAGATGCAAGTACGACGACGACGACGACGACGACTGTTCGATAAAAGAGCATTTCCTTAAAATTTGAAATTTTATTTAAGAATCCTAGATCATCCGGTAAGTGTCGTGAAACACGTAAAGCATTGTCTTTCGAAGCTCGTTCTTTTCATCCATCAAGTTCCGTGGAGGGAAATAATGCATCTGGATCTGGAAGTTCATCATCCAATACTCATCCTTTACCAGCCAGTCATCCTAACAATGAACATTTGACAGTGCATCAACAACAACTTGGTGATAGATTGTATCCTAAAGTTAGAATCTTTCTTAAAAACAAAATAAGATATTTACGTAAAAAGGATAATGTGATATTAAATTATGTATATATATATATACTCTGTTTAGGTACATGCATTACGACCTGCATTAGCAGAAAAAATAACTGGAATGTTACTCGAATTGTCTCCAGCACAATTATTAATGCTCTTAGCTTCAGAAGATGCTTTAAGACAAAAAGTGGAAGAAGCATTTGAATTGATTCATAGTCATAATCAAGACTTAACCAGCGAAGCACTTTTAGATCTTGATGTATTCAGTTTAACTGAACGTTGTGCAGCTAATAAAAAAAAATTAGAAACTAATATAATGGATGACGGAGAAGATAATGCTCCTCTTTTCTATTCACCCGATAAAAGAGGTTTTTATACACCTAGACAAGGTAGAGCCAGTTTTGAACGATTAAATGCTTTCAGGAACGTAGGCAGGTAAGTTTATCATTTATCAAACATTTATCTCGTTATTAGAATATTATCAATGTTGCTAATGTATTAATCGTTTCATTTCATTTCTATTTTTGTTTAATAGATTAATAGGCTTATGTCTATTACAAAACGAGTTGTGTCCAATATTTTTAAATCGTCACGTTATTAAATATATATTATCAAGGCCAATACGTTTTCATGATCTTGCCTTTTTCGATTCTGTGATTTATGAAAGTTTGAGACAACTCGTCATTGATGCTGAAACTAAGGATAGTAACAGTTTATTCTCTGCACTGGATCTTACTTTTAGGTAAATTACAAAAAAAAATTGTCCAATCATTGATTTAATTTAATCTTGGTTTCCTTCTTCTTTTTTCCTTTAGCATTGATTTATGTCCTGAAGAAGGTGGTGGTTCAATCGAACTTATAACAAGCGGTCGTGACATAGAAGTTACAGCTAGCAATGTATATGATTACGTACGAAAATATGCAGAAGTACGTATGATAAAAGTACAAGAGAAGGCGTTGCATACAATGCGAGAAGGAGTATTCGATGTTCTTCCCGAAGGAGCATTGGATGGTTTAACATCTGAAGATTTAAGACTGCTTTTAAACGGAGTCGGTGATATTAATGTATCAGTTTTGATATCGTACACATCATTTAACGACGAATCTGGAGAAGCTACAGAGAAATTAGTAAAGTTTAAGAGATGGTTATGGTCAATTGTAGAAAAAATGTCACACGTTGAACGACAGGATTTGGTAATCATTTTTGTTCAAATATTATGTGTCGCATAAACATGAAATAATTATGTATATATACATGTATATAGTCAAATTGTGGTCACAAGGAAAGAAATGAATATTTTGATTTGTTTTTAATGATAACATTTTTTTGTTTTTGTTGAAATGATTTAAAAGATGTTTATTTTATTTTTGATTTGTTTTTTGTTTTTTTTTCTTTTTAGGTATATTTTTGGACAGGATCTCCTGCATTACCAGCAAGCGAAGATGGTTTTCAACCAATGCCAAGTGTCACGATTCGACCAGCCGACGATGCCCATCTACCAACTGCAAATACATGTATTTCTCGCCTATACGTTCCACTGTACAGCTCTCGTCATGTTCTACGCCATAAGCTACTTCTTGCTATCAAAACAAAGAACTTCGGATTTGTATGAATTTGTCAAGTGATCATCGCTTGTCTCTCCTCCCTTCCCCTTAAAAAAAAAACCCCCCACATTACTGATATTGACATAAGAAAAGATGGTTATGTGTTGTTGTCCTTTTTTTTTTGTCTTTCTTTCTTTCTTTCTTTCATAGAAAAATTTATAACATTTATAAATTTATAAGGTGTATTTATGAATTATAATTTTCCCCTTATCATAAAGCGGTCTTTGTCTCTCTCTCTCTCTTGATAAGGATTTATGTTAAAAGTGTCATATTTAGTCTTTATAGTGGTCCAATAAACTTTCCCAAAATTATGTTGTGCTAATCAATCAAGTAACCTGTATTTTCAAAGAAGTCATTTTCACATTCTATAAGCTCTATGTATAATTATATTAACATTACATTTACTTAAATCGTGTAATATAAATCTTTTGGCTCTCATTATCACGTTATAATTTTCTCTTTTTTTCTTTCTCTCTCTCTCTCTCTCTCTCTCTCTCTCTCTGCTTTTGACGACAAAAGCAACGTTTGAAGACTTTTTAAGAAATTCTAATGATCGATACAATGAAAAAATTTTTTTTTTTATTAGGCTCATATAAGATGTAACATAAAATGACAAAATATTGCGAGTTTTCAGATGCACACCATAAGAGTTTCTTGGACACTTTGTTTGTTGTTAAATATATATATATATATATTACATATCAGTTTAAGAAAAAAAAAAATTAACGAGACTATGACACGAGTATCGAAATATAATAAACTATACGATTTGACATCCATGGTACTTAAAATTGAAAGTGTCGTGCCAAGATTTAGCTTCTTACAAAAATGCAATGTAAAAATTAATTAGATAACTAAAATATGTAATAGGAACAATACTTTCAAATGCTTTTTTGGCATTATAATCTTTAAAAAAAAAAAAAAAAAAAAAAAAAAAAAATACAGAACACGTACAACACGGTACTACAAGATCCCTCAAATGTGATGTAAACCAAATTATTAATATTTTCTTTTTATTTTATCGACATAATTTTCGTTTTTAATCAACGTAATTTCGTTACTTAAATCTTAACAATAATCCAAATGATGGAAAATTTAGTTAGTTTGTTTGTTTTTTTTCTTCTTTTTTTTTTTTTTTTTAAACTATTACATTGACATGATCATCCAAATTAGCCGAATATTAAAATAATATTAAGGATGTCTCTAGCTGCCTATTTTGTATCGTTAAATATCTTCTTTTTAACACGTTCAAAATCTTCAATTCTATCGTAAAACAATATCAACTCTGGTTATGTATGCTGTTTTTAGTCCTGGCATGCATTTTTTTCATATACGTCTTTGCTTGTGTCTAGGATCGCAACAATGTTTTTTTTTCTTTTTTTTTTTTTCCAAAACGGTTGACCATTTTGAAAGAAAAATTCAATGTACAGTTTTAAATATATTTCCTAATCAATAAACTGAAATAGTAAAAAATAATCTATTATCTTTAATTTAATTAAAAAAAAAAAAAAAAAAAAAAATAAGACTAATGCTAATATGTATAATATAATAAATCTCATTATTTATAAATTTCTAAAAATCGTAAAGTTATATACAATAATTATATTATGTTCTTGACAAAGTATTGATAGAAACTTATGTACAATGGTTACCTATTGACCACTTCCTGAACTGTTTTGGGGTAATTTTGCTGTTGTTTGACTTAATTGAGCCAATGTTTCTGGAGTAGCATGTGCTTTTAAGATTGAATTTTCAGCTTCCAATTGATTAATACGGTCCATAAGTTCTGCGATTTTTTCTTTTAATACCTCAACTTCTTCTCGTACAGCAAACATCAAATGACTTTTTACCAGATCCTATAAATGAGTAAATAGGAATATTATATTGTTACTTTTAATATTTATTCCAAATTATATATTGTGTTGTTTTAATTAGGAAAATTTAATTACCATAGCTTGTTCAATTTTATTATCAATCGCTACTGCACCTGTTCCTGACACGCTGTAACAAAATTTAATGATTTATTGCAAAAGTAAACATTTAATGTATTAATTTGTAATTATACATTAAATTAAAATAGATAAATATACAAACCTTTCACTATCTTCAAGGGTATGATGTTCATCGCTTCCTTGTGTAACTTCGGTTAAAGATTCCAAGAGAGTAGCATCAGCTGATTGTGCTGCAGCAGTAGTTACAATGCCTGAAATAGAGTCCTGCTCTGGATCAGGTTGATGAAACGTTATAGTCCCTTGCTGCATTCCTGCCACAACATTTTGACAAGCAGCTGACACTTGAGCCATTTGCACTTGAGTATTGCTACCAGAGGATTGCGTTTGCATTTGTGTTGGTGGTATAACTTGAGACTGTACCGGTGGTCCTGGTGCATGAATAGTTGAGGAAGATTGTTGTGTACCTGTTTGAGGAACTTTATGTATACTTTGAATGCCCTGCATTCCTTGAACGGCAGTTAGTGGCTCGGAAATCTGAGTCATTGGTTTTTGTGTCTGCAATGGCTGTTGAGGCTGTTGCTGTTGTTGCTGTGGAGGGTGTTGCGATTGCTGTTGCTGTTGTTGTTGCTGCTGCTGTTGTTGTTGTTGTTGTTGTTGTTGCTGAGGTGGATGCTGCGATTGTTGTTGTTGCTGTTGCTGCTGTTGTTGGGATGGATGTTGGGTAACAAGTATATTTGATGCTTGAGAAGTTGGAACATTAGTTTGCTGTACCGATGAAGGACAAACAGTTTGTCCAGGTAAAGATTGATTTTGCGTACTAACTCCCAGATATGGATCTTCTTTTGAATGAGTCATATTTTGTTGAGTCGGAACACTATTACTACTAGTTTGAGTTATAATAGGTATAGAACCTTGAGGCATACTCTGAGGTTGTCCAAGATTATTTGGATGCGTAGGTTGTAAATTAGATGGCAACGTAGATCCCTGTCCTTGTTGTTGAGAAGCTAACTGTTGCGCGGATGACTGAAAATATTGAGGAATTTGCGAAGGTGGTTGAACATTTGGTTGCGTGGGATTATGCTGTACAGTAGGGGGAATAGAACTGTTTACTGCATAATTTGAACTTGTAACTGAACTATTGTTCGGTACACCAATCGATGACTGCACATCAGGATGAGAGTGAACTGTTCCATTGACGTCAAGATTAATGCTCTTATCGTCAGATACAACAGATTGTTTAGATGCATCTGGAATTACAATTCCACTATCTGTAACCCCATAAGATATGCACACCTCATTTGGATCGGAAACTTTAGGGGTACCAATAGCTGTAGGTTGATTTACCGATGTATGATCCAAATAATCCATGCAGGTCCATCTACCTCTTTTGAATGGTTCAGTACTTTCAATTTTGACTACTTTAAAACGTTCATTTCTCCCATGTGAATGTACCTCTCGTAAATCAGAATCTTGTTTAGCATTACTCGACAGTAAATTAATAATATTGTTGTCGGTAACAGATGTAATGTCTAATGTGTTGATATTGCTATCGTTAACAGAATTGTTCACACTGTTTCCTTCTGACGGTACAATGGCCAGTCCATATTGTGAACTGGTAGGAATCACCGGAGCAGTACTGAGTGCAGCATTACTGGTGTTGAAAAATACGTCCTCCTTAGAGAAGGTATCTTCCGAATAACTAGGCGTCTCGATATCAATATCGGTAATACGCGAATGTTCCACAGAATTATCTTCTGTGTGGGATTCATCCAAATCGTCATTGGAATCTTCGCCGGCATCGTTGCTCATACGACAACCGACTGTAACACTTGTAATTTGAAAAGACGACGTCTTTTTTCTACACTGGTTACTACTGGTCACGTTGCTTGAGGTGGTCAAGCTAACCGGCTGGTGTAGTTTATCAGGCTCTCCTAACCGAATCGTTTCCGTAGTCGTACGATGCACCGGATTAGATATCTTTCTACTACCATCCGAGAGTTTATGCGATTTCCTGTGTACATTATCTGCCATTATTATAGGAACTTAGCATTCGAGAGCCACGATCTTTGCACTCGTTCTCCTCTCGCATGTTAAAACCAACATTGCTGCATGCCGGTGTCCGTTCACTTCGATGACCAGTCGCGTAATCTGCGATCTTTACCGGACAAGCTTCAGGCAAGATCGCCCCAACTCTCGGCAAATATACGAAATAAAATCATGTTCTGAGATTGGTAAGGTGTTGACAGTTCACCATTTCTATCGCACGGGAATACAGTTCGTTCGCTCAAGTACCGTCCAATAGAAATGAAACTCGAACTGAGCAATACGAGCTCTTTATTCCTTCACGGTCAATTATAAGCCATTTGGTGTCATTCGTTTACATTACTATCTCGATACGATTTTCATTGTCCACATCCTTCCTGTTCTATTATAGTAAGTGAGCAGTTTAAAAATGGCTGCCAATTCACTCATACAATTGCCACGAATTATAGCTAGAGTATCTACGAGCGTGTTCGTCAGCTAAAGCCTATTTTCATGAACAATATAATACTTAGTTCACAGTTATTCAAATATTCGATTGTTGGACAACTATTTTCGAACTTCCGGAAAATGGCGAACCAATTGTAAGGCGCTCAATTTTCAAATTTCTAAATTTCTAAATATATATTCATGTATATTATTTTTCTTTGTTATCCTTAAGAAAATTTGGAATTTTAATCTATCATTCTAATTCTTAATTCTAAATATATTCAATATTTAATATCCTTTTTATATATAGTCAATTTTAATGCTTTCTATGGATCTTAGTGAAGTTTTCGTAAAACAACGATGCACTAGTAACATATAACATATATGTAATATTTATTTGTGAAATTTGTATTTCTTATCATTAAAATTATGTTGAAAATAATTAAAGGACTTAGAAAAATCAATAAAAATATAGGATTAGGAAAATCCAATAATAAGAGGATGAAAAATGACATTTTACCTGGTAATAACCTTAAAATATATTCGTTTATTACTTATAGTAATATTTACAAATATTTCAAATAGTATTTAAATTCTAAGTACATTGTTTTGTTATCATTTCATTACAGTATTTAAATACCCAATCAGTAAGGTGGGTGATCGCAGAGTATATGTTTGGGGTCTTGCAGAACATGGGGCTTTAGGTACCATTGAGAGAACATTGATAAAACAAGGCATAGCTTATCTTCCAGCACCAAGAAGATTAACTTTTGCAGAAAGATATAAAGTAACAGATATTGCATGTGGTTATGGTTTTACAGCTTTTGCAGTAAAATCTTCAGATAAAAATATCATTTATGGCAGTGGAATAAACACTGATTCTCAACTTGGTAATAAAAGTATTTTATTATGTCAAATATTAAATGGCAATTGCTTGTAAATACTTATTTCAAAATGAAATGTCTCTTTACTTAGGTTTTCAAGAAGCAAATAATATTTATTTAGATGTAGTAACTTCACCAAGGCCAATAAATCTGCCACTTAAAAATTCAACAGCTGAAGTTATAAGTGTAGCTGCTGGAAGGGCACATTTATTAATATTAACAAACGAAGGACTTTTTACATTAGGCAATAATGGATATGGTCAATGTGGTAGACCAATTATAATGAATGAAAATTATAATCGTAGTAATGTAGTTCATCATATACCTAGTATAAGAGGAAATCGAATAACTGCTGTTACAGCTGGTCAAGATCACAGGTATAAAGTTAATCATTTATTTTAATTATCTAATTGTATGTCTATCTATGTAAATATTTTTTAACATTGTTTATTAATATATATATATGTATATATTTATCGTAGCATACTTTTAACAGAATCTGGTGAAGTATATACATTTGGTTGGGGTGCTGATGGACAAACTGGCTTAGCACATTATCGAAATGAACATCAACCAAGTTTGGTTAAAGGAGATTTAGCAGGACAACACATAATCAAAGTTGCTTGTGTTGCAGATTGTGTATTGGCTCTTAGTGGTATTTATCAATATTATTTTGAAAATATCATTTATAATAATATTTTTCATTAATTTATTTCTCATTTTAAACATTAGATAAGGGAAAAGTTTTTGGATGGGGTAATTCAGAATATGGACAATTACTAATGGACAGTGACAATTATCAAGTAAACATTGCTACAGAATTGAATATACCTAAGGAAATAGGACATATTGTTGACATTGCTACTGGAGGCTGTTTCTGTATGATATTAAATTGTAAGAACAGAAAAAAAACATAAATATTAATTAGAAGAAAGAAAAATAATAGATAAATGACCGTTTTATTGTATTATATTTGTTAGCTGAAGGAGATGTTTATGTATGGGGATATGGTATTCTTGGTCTTGGACCAAAAGTAGAGAGGGTTTTAAAACCCACTTTACTTCCATCCACATTATTCGGTAACAATGCATATTCACGTAATACCAAGGTAAAATTAAATTTATTTAACATTGATTTCTATATAAATATCCATTTGGTGTAATAATGCAATCATTTTTATTCATAGGTTTCAAATATATATTGTGGAATAAGTCATTTAGCAGCGATAACAAATACAGGAGATTTATACATGTGGGGATGTAATAAATTTGGATCCTTAGGAATAAGTCATCAAAATGATCAATTTTTTCCTTTCAAGGTAAGGATGTGCATTTTTTTTTTCTATAATTTTTATTAATTTTTATTTTTTGTAATTTTATTTAAAAGGTTTCTGTAGGAGCTCAAGTAAAAAAGGTTGCCTGTGGAATTGATCACACAGTAGCACTTTGCAAGCCCTTCATCTAAAGGTACATTATTAATATTGTTTTTTTTTTTTTTTTTATTAAGTAACAATTTATTTATTTTTGGTACAAAATTTTCACAATAATTTTTTTTAAATATATCTGTACATATGCTTGTAATATAAACTTTCAATATAATTTGTTGAATATGAAATGAATATAAAGAGAATAAACCATTACTCGTATTATGCTTAATGAGATAATCAATATATTGATTATCAATTAATTATTATGAATTTTTTAAAAGATCTTATAAATAACTTTTTTAATGAGATCTGATATTTGATAAAAGATAATACATTGTTATTATTATCAAAGCAATATAATTGATTGCCATTTTATTTGCACTACTTGTGCATACTAAATGCTCGTATGAAATAGTATATTTTATCATGTGTGGATATCTACACCTATTTGGATCTGAAATAACAAGTTATTATTTCTATAATTGTTCATTTTATATATATATAATACATATTTATTGATAATATTTATTTACCTGTGCATTGATATGATATGTCAGAAGAATTAGCAGTTACAGATAGATATAATGGTTGACATTCATGAATAAATGTTGCCTCGCCACAAGATACTGAAAAACTATGTTCATTGTTATTTATTGATGCGCAAGAAACATCTTGATTAGTTTTTGTTGTATTAACATGTAATAGATTTCTTGATGAGCACACTGTTAAAGATCCCCAACCAGATCCTAGAATCTGGAGAAAAAGAAAAAAGTATATCATCAAAAATACATTTAATTCTTTCTTTTTTTTTGTATACATTACATACCTTTACTGTAGCTGTAGTATCATGAGAAAAGAAATAATTAGGATGAAGTCTATAAAAGTTAATTCCATTTGGATGTACATAATCCACAAATGAATTTGAAGTTCCAGTTGAAACATAATTTGCACCACATTGTGTGTTAATTAATCTTTTGGGTACTGTAATATTTTGTTGTTTTTTTTTTTCTATTAATATTTCTGTATCATTATATCATAATATTATGTATTTTATCACATTTATATCTTACTTTGTTTTATTCTTGAAATAAGTTTATCAAGCGGCGCTAAAGCTTCTTTAGTATCTCCCAGTCCTATTGAGAACAAATCTGATATAGAATTTTGTACTATATTTGACCATGCATCCTTTGATCCAGAAGTTAAAATGAGGACGGTTGCATCTACAAAAAAAAAAAAAAACAATATAAAATGAGTAAAGAGTATATAATAAAATATATAACATAATTCTTACCTGGAATTTCTTCACGCATATATTTCAGTTGTTCCAAACAATAATCTTTGTCAGATTGAGATAACTGTGCATTATTATATGGCATAATTAATATTACATCTGATGCTTTTCCTCCAATACCTTCGTTATGTTCTCTATTCAATTTATCTTTCTCTAAATTTCTTAATATTTGAAATGATTTAGGTAGATTTAATCCTTTTTTAACTGTAAACAATTATTTTGATTTAATATTTCGTTAAATCAATTCTAGATAAATATAAGAACAAACAAATACCATTAGAATAATTAGACGAATTGAAACTGTTGAAATTTAAAATAGTATCGGTACTATTAATCATTACATTTCCATCATAGCCATTGATTATAGTAAAATTACTATTGAACTGATTAATTTCCATATTTTCTAGCATATATCTGTATAAAAAAAAAAAAAAAGAAATTATATAAATAGATATTTAACAAATTATTTCATTATTTTGTTTAAACTTACGCTAATATGGGTTGTACAACTTCAAAAGGCCAATTGGTATCAAGAATAATAGTCAAATCTGCAGAAACTATAGTCGAATCAAATAAACGATCTGTCTCTTGACATGATAAATCTTGGTTCATTGATGAAGCTATAAAAAGATGAATGAATATATTATGGGATTGATTATATAATGAAAAATATAACAGACTTGTTTAATACTAACGTATATATGTTGATAATTCATTAGCAGCATCAACTGCAAATTTTTCTATAATAGGTGGTTTTAATGTTGCTTTTGCTAAATTTTCACTCAATACTAAAGATGCACTGTATGCCTGTAAAACAAAAATAATTCATTGAAATGATTTTTATTTTGATATAAAATATTAGAATATTTAACAACAACCAAAAATTCGAATGATAAATTTACCTGTGCAGATAATGTAGAATTAGGTGCAACGTATCTAAACAACGATCTACGATTGCACGCTCGAATTGTAGAATTAAATAAACCTGATGCACTGTAATACATATCCAAAATTTGTGAAAGACGTAAACTAGATATTTTTGAATACCACGATTTAACTTCATTAGCAAGAATCAATCCATCCAAATCTCCTCTAATTTCGGCAGTCGTAAATTGATATTTTTCATTAGAATTTAAAAAATACCAACGTGGCATTGCAATAGAATTCCAATCTCCATTAACTCCTACTTGTAATTTTTCACCTCTGGGACCTTGCATAAGTGCAACTTCAGCTAAATCACCTGTGTGTGAATAAATTTAATATTATTTTTATTAGAAATATATATATATATATAGGATATAATAATGAAATTAAATATAACAATTATTACCAGCTAATGTGGCTATCCATTTATTATCTAAAGTTATATCAGATGAATATGCAGTTTGTAATAATTCATCTTCCAATACATCTCGAAGTATAATATTTTCTGGTTGTACTGCTGCAGCTATACCAGCAAGAATTGATCCACCAGAAATTGATCCCCAACTGTAAAATTATTTTAATCATACATACGTTTGAAAAACAATTATAAATAATAATTTGTTTTCTTCATTTTGAGAGAGAAAAAAATAGTTGCTTTACTTACGGAGTTTTAATTACACCATTCTCAACAGGACATTTACTTAATGATGGTGGAGAAAATATTCTTCCTTTATCAGGATGATTTGGTGGTAATTCTGGATAAAATGAATTAGGATCTACTGCACTTTCCGTTGAATTCTTTTTATTTGTCATTTTTTCTCTATATGATCATTAAAATTATTATTAAAATATGTTTTTTAATGGAAGAAAAAAGAAATACATATATATATATATACTTACATTTCTTCTGGTGATAAAGTTTCAACATCTTCATTAATATTTTGTGTATTATTGTTATCATTTGGATCAATACTTCTAATATTTCTGTATGCACCATTTGCAAATCTACAAACTGTTCCTTCATCACCTCTTTCAAAAATGTTTACGCTACTTGACACCATAAAATGCAGAGTACACTGAAATAATATTTAATATTACATTTTTTTTTTTGTTACATTTTAAAGTATAAATTGAAAATGATTTATAAATCAAATAATATGTACTATATCTATAATTTATAAAGATTTCAATGTTATTAATAAAACTCTTACTCTTTCGATAGCAGTAATACTGTTATTAGGAAACAACATTGCATTTCCTTGTATAAAACGAAGTGTTTTTGCATGACGAAAAAATTCGTGACCAGTTGGTGCATATGGAGATATTCCATCTTGTGATACCACTGATGGGTTTGGACGTATACCATCTTGACGAAAACTATATATTAATAATATTTCAATATTAATAAATGTTATTTAAAAAAAAAATATATATATATATATATATAATAAATAGTTTGTATATGCATATATTTTTACCGATGTAATAATGCAACAGACAAACTTCTAAGATCCATATTCAAACCTTCTGAATTTTCTATTTTTCTTATTATTGCTATAAGTGTATTCAAAGTATGAGGTAATCTATTATTCCTTTCTAAAAGATATTTATTTTCATAACATTCACGAAGAGAAGTTGGAAGTGTACGTACAGCATTTTCTTGAGCATGAATGCCTAAAAATATAATATCATTTCAATGCTATTTTTCAAATTGATGATTCATTAGATAAATGAACATTTTAAATGAATAATAATAAAAAGATAAAAAAAAAAACTTACCTAAATTGTAGACAAAACTCATGATAAGTAAATAAAGTATCTTCGTCATAATTTTGTTCGTATATAATACAATAAAGCACTTTTAGTAAATCTACAAATATAATATATTACTTTATAAATTATAATTTATATCAAACAATGTATATATAATTGAACATATATAAAATTATATGATAAAAATATCTAGATCAACTTTTAATGCATTTATTTGAAAAATATCAATAATTTTTCAAAGGTACTAACACCTATCTTTCAAAGTATATAACTGAATTAATATATATATATATATATAAAATTATATAATAAAAATATGGAGAACAACTTTTAATGTATTATTTGAAAAAATATCAATAATTAATCATAACTTACATATTATTATAATAATAATTTATTAAATTGTTATACAAAATATATTGTCCTTACTATTCTTCTTTGAAAGGTACTACACCTACCTTTTTACACAAGTTGAAATATCTACTATCACTATCAAAAGATAAGATATGAAATATTGTGAGTAATATGTCCCCTTTTCTTATTGTACAGATCATACTTATATGAATAAGGCTAATCTTAAAGAAATCAAAATTAATTAAAACACCAAATTTATTTTCAATTAAAAAAAACAAAAAATTGAGATTATATTGAAATATTAATCATTTTAATTATCAAAATATATGTGTAATATATATGTAAATATTTATAACATAACTATTATTTGACTTTCTATATTCTTCTAGATATTATTTATGTATATAAACAATATTAAATATTATTGCTAAATAATAATAATAATAATTCATTTTTATAAATTAATATCTTATTTATTCAATATGTTTATTGCATTGATTTTATAAATCATTCATAAATGTAAATAATAGAATTTTTATTATAGATATTTCACACATTTATATCTTATCAAGATTAGAAGTAGAGGCATTATCTTACTCTATCTTTTTTAAAACATAGTGATTCATTTCGAAGTACATAACATACGTTATTATAGCACGTGTAAAATACTCTTTCTTCAGTGACACAGTGAACTATTTCAAAATGTTGATATACAAAATTTCGTTTCTTTTATTATGCTTCGGTATGTATTATACAGTTTACATTGTTTTTAATTAAAAATTATAGATATAATATTGATATATATGATATATATATATTGTGCAAAATTA